ACTAGTATTACTAGTAGTAGTAGTAGTAGTAGTAGTAGTAGTAGTAGTAGTAGTAGTAGTAGTAGTAGTAGTCGGAGTCGTAGTCCTAGTCCTAGTCCTAGTCTGAGTCGTAATTCTAGTACCGGTAGTAGTAGCAGTAGTAGTAGTAATAGTGCCCGTCGTAGTCGTAGTCGTAGTCATCGTAGTAGTCGTCGTCGTATTCGTCGAAGTCGTAGTAGTCGCCGTTGTAGTTGTAGTCGTTGTACACATAGTAGTCGTAGTAGCATTAGTACTGGTACTAGTAACCGTAGTAGTATATGTAGAAGAAGTAGTAGTAGTAGTAGTAGTAGTAGTAGTAGTAGTAGTAGTAGTAGTAATAGTAGTAGTAGTAGTAGTAGTCGTAGTGGTAGTCGTAATAGTACTCGTAATAGTAGTGATAGTAGCAGTAGTAGTAGTCATAGTAGTTGTAGTAGCAGTGGTAGTAGACAAGTATTGTCGTCGTAGTCATTGTTGTAAATCGTACAGGTACTACCAAATAGCTGTGTTAGTAATCGAAATCGTAGTCGTAGCAGTCGTTGTACCAGTCTTAGTAGTAGACGTAGTATCAGAAGTAGTAGTTGGTGTAGTAGTAGTAGTCGTAGTCGTAGTAGTAGTAGTAGTAGTAGTCGTAGTAGTAGTAGTAATACTAATGAAAGTAGGAGTAGTAGAAGTAGTAGTAGCAGTAGTACTCATCGTAGTAGTAGTAGTCGTAGAAGTACTAGTAGTAGTAGTAGTAGTAGTAGTAGTAGTAGTAGTAGTAGGAGTAGCAGTGGTAGCGGAGGTAGTAGGGGTAGTAATAGTTAACTTTGGACTAGTAATAGTCGTAATCGTAAAAGTAGTAGTAGTGGTAGTAGCAGCAGTAGTAGCAGTAGTAGTAGTAGTAGTAGTAGTAGTAGGAGTCTTCTCCGTCGTCGTCGTCGTAGTCGTAGTCGTACTATCATTATTATTCGTAGTATTATTAGTAGTAGTAGTAGCAGTAGTAGTAGTGGTGGTTGTCCTAGCAGTAGTCGTTCCTGTAGCCAGAGTAGTAGCACTTGTACAACGAGTAGTAACACGCGTAGTAGCAGCAGCAGCAGCAGCAGCAGTAGTAGTAGTAGTAGTAGTAGTCGTCTTCGTCCTCGTCGCCGCCGTGGTAGCAGTAGTTGTAATAGTAGTCGTCGTCGTCCTAGTAGTAGTAGTAGTAGTAGTAGTAGTAGTAGTAGTAGTAGTAGTAGTAGTAGTAGTAGTAGTAGTATAGTAGTAGTAGCAGTAGTAGTAGTGGTCGTGGTAGTGGTTCCAAGTGGTAGTAGTAGTAATAGTACTAGTAGTACTAGAGTAGTAGTAGTAGTTAGTAGGAGTAGTTAGTAGTAGTAGTAGTAGTAGTAGTAGTGTAGTAGCAGTAGTAGTAGTAGTAGTAGTGGTAGTAGTAGTAGTAGTAGTAGTAGCACTTGTAGTAGCAGCAGCAGTAGCAATCGCTGCTTAATAGCAGTCGTAGTAGTAGGAGTAGTAGTAGTAGTAGTAGTAGTAGTAGTAGTAGCAGTAGCACTAGTAGTGGTAGAAGTAGCCCTAGTACTAGTAGTAGTAGTAGTAGTAGTAGTAGTAGTAGTCGTCGTAGTAGAAGTAGTTACTGTAGTTGCAGCAGTATGTGTAGTCGTAGTGGTAATTTTAGTAGTAGTAGTAGTCGTAGTAGTAGTAGTAGTAGTAGTAGTAGTAGTAGTAGTAGTAGTAGTAGTAGGTTGTAGTAGGTAGTAGTAGGTAGTAGTAGGTAGTAGTAGTAGTAGTAGTAGTAGTAGTAGTAGTAGTAGTAGTAGTAGTAGTAGTAGTAGTAGTAGTAGTAGTAGTAGTAGTAGTAGTAGTAGTAGTAGTAGTAGTAGTAGTAGTAGTAGTAGTAGTAGTAGTAGTCGTAGTAGTAGTGGTCGTAGTCGCAGTAGTCGCAGTAGTAGCAGTAGTAGTTGATGTTGTTGAACGTGTAGGTGCAGTTCAAGTTGTAGTTGTAGCTGTACTAACAACAGTAGTAGAAGCCGTAGTAGTAGTAGTAGTAGTAGTAGTAGTAGTAGTAGTAGTAGTAGTAGTAGTAGTAGTAGTAGTAGTAGTAGTAGTAGTAGTAGTACAGGTAGTGGTAGTAGTAGTAGGGGTAGTACAGGTAGTGGTAGTAGTAGTAGTAGCAGCAATCGCAGTATACAGTAGTAGCACTAGTAGTAGTAGTAGTAATAATAATAGTAGTAGTAGTAGTAGTAGTAGTAGTAGTAGTAGTAGTAGTAGTCGTGGTAGAAGTAGTAGTTCAAGTAGTAGTAGTAGTAGTAGTAGTAGTAGTAGTAGTAGTAGTAGTAGTACTAGTATTAGTAGTAGTAGTAGAAGTAGTAGTAGTAGTAGTAGTAGTAGTAGTAGTAGTAGTAGTAGTAGTAGTAGTAGTAGTAGTAGTGGTAGTAGTGGTAGTAGTGGTAGTAGTCGTAGTCGTAGTCGTAGTAGTAGTAGTAGCAGCAGCAGTAGTAGTAGTAGTAGTAGTAGTAGTAGTAGTAGTAGTAGTAGTAGTAGTAGTAGTGGTGGTAGTAACAGGAGATGTAGCAGAAGTAGTAGTAGTAGTAGTAGTAGTAGTAGTAGTAGTAGTAGCAGTAGTCGTAGTAATAGCAGTAGTAACAGTAGTAGTACGGGAACTAGTCGTAGCAGTAGTGATCCCACCAGCAGGATTTGTTCACTTTATGCGAGGTTCTTGGTTGGATTATGTCAGGTTTGGGAGGGCAGGACTCATGACCAGTATTGCTAGGCTTCGGCGCAGCTTCTGCGAAGGTCTGCGAAGCTTCGCGAGGTTCCGGGGCAGCTTCTCCGACGTCCCCAAGAAGCTGTTGACTGGCTTGTTTGAAAATTGTTCGATGTGCTAATGGGAGGTTTTCAACTGCTTTGCGCGAGGGCGTTGCCTAGTTCATGACAGGTTTCTGACAAGTTCGTGCAACATGGATCAGATTTTTTGCCAAGCTGTCGCGAGTCTGCTCAAAGGCGTTTGCTGGGCTCTCGCGAGGCTTCTGCGTGGCTTCCGTGAGGCTTCTGCGTTTTTTTGTTTTCGATAGGGGTTTCTGCAGGGCCTCGGGCTCGGCTCGAACTTGAGTTCCAGTTCCGCTGCCACTGTGTTCCAGCCACCGCCAGTATTATCATTGCCACCACTACCACCACCACCACCATTATTGATTATTACCACCGCAACTACCAACTCGACTACCAGTGCCATCCTGGGCCCAGGAAGGGTGCATACGCCTCCCTGGCCAACCCAGAGGAGTGCATACACCGCTCCGGGCCCCAGGATGGGCCTGGTCAGCGGCGGAGGATGTGTCTAGATCTCGTCGCCGCCCTACCCCCAGACATGCGCCGTCCTGATTTGTTCAATACGGCGTCCCCGGAAGTCTGGACCCTTTCCCCTGGAACGGTTTTTCATCTTGAGTCGTTTTTGGAGGGTCCTGGGGCCCGGCGAGGGCCCCCAGGGCCCTAAAACAGCGAAAAAAATGTCCCGACCAGATTTTTTGACGACTCGGCCACCTGTGGGTCTTGGTCTCCTCGGCGCGGAGGCCAACCCCAACGGCACCTTCAAGATCACTTGGGACGACGGCACCGGCGACAGCGACGGCAGGCAGCCCGGGGAGCTGCGCCCCTGGCAGCGCGGTGCGCCCCGGCTGGAACCGCAGGCGCTCTGGCCGCCCATCCCCCCCGGCAGGCCAGCCGGCCAGCCCCGACGGCGACGACGACGACGACGACGACGACGACGACGACGACGACGACGACGGCGGCGGCGGCGACGACGACGACGCAATGGCGACGACGACGACGCAATGGCGAAGACACAAGAACGACGACGATGACGGCGACGGCGACGGCGGCGGCGGCGACGACAACGACGACGACAAGGGCGGCGGCGGCGGCAGCGGCGGCGGCGGCCGCAAGGGTGACGGCGGCGAGGACGAGTGCGGCGGCGGCGAATGCGGCGGATCCCTCCTCCTACACCCCCCAGGAGTTTACAGTCGGCGAGTACGTCCAGGCTAAGTACGACGATGGGAAGTGGTACGGCGCCACAGTGATAGAGGCCAGCAATGAGACGAGCGCACGGGTCAGTCGCAGTGTGGCAGCATAGTGATTCCTGCCAATTCCCACCACCCCGCTTCTCCTGCTCCTCCTCCTCCTCCTTCTCATCCTGCTCCTGCTTCTCCTGCTCCTGGTTCTCCTGCTTCTCCTCCTTCTCCTCCTCCTACTTCTCCTCCTCCTCCTCCTCCTCCTCCTCCTCATGCTCCTTCTCCCCCTCCTCCTCCTCCTCCTCCTCCTCCTCCTCCTCCTCCTCCTCCTCCTCGGTGTACAGTGGAGGCCCATGCCAGGAAAGACCCTGCTTGCCTTCAGGGTGCCCTGGGTTTCTTGGGTTTCCATGGTCTTGCCATGGAAACCGTGACGCTCCCGCACCCAAAATCGATGGACGTCCTGGGTTCTCAGGGCTGGGTTTCTTGCGGAATCTTGTGGAATGTGGACTGGCCTCCAGTGTGGACTGGCCCCCACTGCAAGGCTGGGCAGGAGGAGGAGGAGGGCCAGGACGAGGAGGCGCCCCCGGCAGCGGCGGCTCGGGGCTCGAGGCTGCTCGCCCACGGCCTCGACCTCGGCGCGCCAGTCCGTGGCGCGCCCGAGTTAGGGGAACAAGAACCTTGGTATCGCACGGACGTGTGCATTTTTTTTTGGCGAGGACCATCGAGGAGCATCCTTGATCATTTGGCGAAACAACCACGCACGAAGCCGAACAAAAAGGTACAGGGAATGGACGTCCGAGCGATGGCCAGAAATTGGCATAAACATAACAGCTCGGAGGTCCGCGCGGCTTGCTCGGATCGGCGCTGGACCCCCCTCCCTGGCGCGCGGAGCGCGCCAGGGGCGGCGCCGGAGGCGCCGCCAGGGGAGCCAGCGCCGATCCGTGGTGCGCCCGAGTGTCTGGACGCCCGAAACGGGCACGGAAAGAATGGGTACGATCAGTTCCTGTTCATTTTGAACAGGGCTCGCTGTCCGCGCCGCCGCGGCCTGTGTCCATTCGAGACATGAGGCCGCCTGCCCAACAGCGGCCGCTGTTGGTTTGGGACACCATTTGTTGTTGGGCATTGTGCCCATTCTTTCCGTGCCCACTTCGGGCGTCCAAGGAGTGCAGGCGCGGATGCCGCAGCCGCAGGGCCCCGCGCGGGCTCCGCCGGAGGCCGCGGGCGTGCCCGTCGCCTCCGCGCGCGCGGGCGCGCGCGCCCTCTGCGTGCGCGTGCGCGCTCGCCCGATCCGGCGAGGGCGGGGGCGGGGTCGAGCGGGGACGGGGGCGAGGGCGACCAAGGAGGAGGAGGAGGAGCAGGAGGAGGAGGAGGAGGGCGACCAAGGAGGAGGAGGAGGAGGAGGAGGAGGAGGAGGAGGAGGAGAAGGGGAAGGGCCAGTGCAAACCCAAGACGCGTCAACGAGATCACCTGCCTCCCAGCTTCCGCTTTCCGGATGTCCTTACAATAACGTATCTCCACGGCGGAAAATGCCATTTCGAAAAAGAAGCGTTTGATAATTCTCAACAGTGCCAGAGCACTACGCCTAGACTTCATCGCCGCGAATTAACTTGACTCCTGCGCCCAGACGATCCTAAGACATGTCAGTACACCGCTCCTGGGACTTAGTCACCACACGCTGAAAAGGAGTCGCCCTCCATCCTTGAAGCTGCTGCAAACAGCTACGACGAAAATGCGCGGCGCTTGGGCGGGGGCCGCATGTTGACAACGGCCCGCCCTCCGTCCCTGAAGTTGTCGCAAACGTGAACGACGAAGCTGCGCGCCACTGCGGCGAGAGCCATAGTTTGAGAACGGCCCGCGCCCCACCTCTGAAACTGCTGTGGGGAGACGAATGCGCGCGGGGCTGATGCGAGAGCAACGCTTTGAAAGCGGCCCGCCGCCCATCTCTGAAACTGCCGCAAGTCTCAAACTCCAGGGTCATGAGTGTTGAAGACGTCTCCGGCGAATCGCCTGGCCCGCCCTGCCAACACGTCTGGGGGTGCGACAGGGAGGAGGTACTGATGAAGAGCAGGGGTGGTTGAGGACGGAAGGAGGAATGGGAGGAGGAATGGGACCGAGAGGAACAACGATGAGGGGGAGGGAGTCGAGGGGCGCGATGGGGGGCGAGAAAGAGGAAGAGGAGGGCAAAGAAGAGGAGGAAGACGAGGAGGAGAAGGGGAGGAGGAGGAGGAGGAGGAGGAGGAGGAGG